CGCAGCGCTCTGACAAATGAGGTGGGAGTGTGGAAGGAGATATGGGAATCTTTTAAAAATCAGTATCTTAAAGACAAATCTAGACAGCATGAATGAAGGTGGGGGGAAGGTGCCAGCACTTACAAGCAAGCTGAAACCTCTTTGGCCCTCATTTATTTCATCTCTGGAATAAACCTTGCCAGAAAAGAGACCTGCTGGCTCAGCAGATTGAGCATTGGGCGGCTAACCACAAGGTGAGTGGTTCAAATCCACATGAGGGCAAATGACAACAACCTGCCAGAGGGGCGGCAGAAGCTCTTGAGCTCTGTTCTGATGTGAGGCTCCATGACTGCTGTGGGGCCCGCCTTCTCTGCCTGCCCTCTGCACAAGCTGCGTTTCGTGCGGACTCCCCACGCTCAAGCCTGGCCTTTCTCAGGCAGCGGTCAAGCCAAATGGTTTTCTGCTTGGCTACAACTCATTTCTCTGATGAACATAGCTCCTCCATGCTGGTAGGGAACAAAGGAAGTTTCAGTCTAGGATTTCCTTCAGGGTTTCACAGCATTTTTACTGAGCCCCGGAGAGTTACTTCTCTCACAGGGAGTAGCCAGGAGCCAGTTGTTTCAGACTTTCTTCTGCTTCACGCGTTCCACTAGCCCCCTGACTACCCACTGGCTAAAGAAGCTTAGTTCCAAGTTCTCTACTGTCTCAGCTCCCCCTTCTTGCTGCTTCCTCCGTGCTGGTGAAACTGGCCAGCGAGCCGGCCAGTCTTTGGTCACCCTCTCCCAGGCCCTGCCCCATTGTCCGGCACCAGCAGGCAGCGCAGAACAGCTCTTGGAGTTAGCATTTCCAAATTCCGACCCCATAGTGACCCTGTAGGACAGAACAGAATTGCCCATAGGGTTTTCAAGGCTGTAAATCCCTTGCGGAGCAGACTGCCTCATCTTCCTCCCACATGGTAACTGGTAGGTTCTACCCCCCAGCCTTTCCATTCGCAGCCGAGCACTTAACCACTGCACCACCAGTACTCCATTAGGTTGGTACAATGTTGATTTAATTTTCAGAACTCTAAATGATCTCCTTTAAACCCCTGCCTGGCAGAGTTCTGTCGAGCTGATGGGAAGTCACACTGTCATTTGGGGCTTTTGAATGTAAACGCCTCCAGCAGCTGCTATCTGGTTATTGTCTTTGGCTGTCATGAAAATGAAGTGGGCACCAGGATTGTACCATTCTGGTAGAGGGTGGAGATGTTAGTTACCCAGGAGAAGGCAGCCGCCTTTGTAACACTCGGGGCAGCTTCTTGACCCAAATTGATTGGTGGTGGCCACGGAGAATTGCCCTTGGGTGCGAGGAGAAGCCGGGCCTCAGACTGGCTCACAGAGGCTCAGTGTCATTGCAGTGACAAACTCAGGCGAGCTGAGGCGTTTTTTTTGCAGCGCGGGGTGGGGGTGGGCGGGTGGGTGGGTGAAGGGAGCCCGAGGGGTGAGGGAGCCCCTGCTCTGCCCCGTGGATGGCTGCTGTGGTGGGATGGAGAGATGTTTCAGTTTGAAGGATTAGTCAGGCCAAGAGACAGCGTGAAGTGCGTAGACTCGGTGCCACTAGTCAACCACTTAGCAGGCGTCAGCACATGCTTACATTTCACCTTTCACCCTTCCCCAGTCAGGTGGGCAAGAGCCAGAGGGATGGGGCAGCTTTCCTTGGGACCTACAGCTAGTAGCTATGAGTCGGGCTCTCAGGCTCTTAAGACCTGTTTCCCATCCCAGCGGGGCCGGAGTGGCGCTCACTCGGGTTTGATTTTCTCTGGGCAGACTGTGTTTGACGTTCTGGACGGGGAGGAGATGCGGCGAGCCCGGACCCGGGCCAACCCCTACGAGATGATCCGGGGCGTCTTCTTCCTGAACAGGTTTGCCCCCCCTCCCCCACCCACACACACCTCTGTCCTCCCCTTTTCACGGGGGCCCCAGCTCTCCGTCCGTCTGCACTGAGAGTCATGCTTTTCTGTTGCTCTGTTGCAGGGCAGCGATGAAGATGGCTAACATGGACTTTGTGTTTGATCGCATGTTTACAAATCCCCGGGACTCCTATGGGGTGAGAGCAAGATCCTGCTTCTGAATTCATGGTGCTTAGTGGGTTTAAGCCTCAGTACTGAGAAATTGCCCTTTGTTCGATGCCGAGAGAGGATTCATGCTCTGTGATAGAGCCGTGTTTTGCTTTGAGCTCCCT